ACATGTCCTTATTCTGACTTAAATTTCCATATGTTGTGTCTCCATACAGGTTCACTTAGTTTACAATTTGGACTTTAAAAGTAAGTTTAAATAAACTTCCAACTGCTTGTACCAACAAAACAGATCAGAATTAAATCTCCAAAATAAATTAGAATATTTCTGGATGCAGTATTTGTATTGTTTAACTTACAGTGTTTACATTTGACTCTGTAGCTGGTTGACTCGACACCCAGAAAGCTTTAACCCAACAGTGTGTGTGTGTGTGTGTGTGTGTGTGTGTGTGTGTGTGTGAGGCGTTGCTAAAACATCATGATATGCAGACATTTACAGGAAAATATATTTTTGTCACAGGAAGTTGTTTGTGATGATGAGAATGACCCAGATGGAAACGACAAGGGCTTAGAGACATTAAACTGACATAAGATTAATGAAAAGAAACAAAAAGAAATTATTTGTAGGTAATCAGAGGTAATTCACTAACATGAAATGTAAAATGAAGCCGAAAACGGCAAGAAATTCAATTTGATGTCAACATAAAAGTGAATGTGTGGGATCTGACAACAGACATCTAAAAACAGGACAGAACATATGATGACTAAAAGAACTGTATCAGAACACATTTTTCTAAAAACATGTCTGTATTCACCAGTCAAATGTATCTGTTAAAAGGTGTTTACATCAAACTTCACCTCGTTTGCCTGGCTTTAAATGTCACCATGCAAATAAATGTGGACACATCTAATTCGTAAAAACAGAACATCTTTATTAGCATTATTATTACCATCTGTTTCTATATTGTTCTGTATTTCTGCACAAAACTTCCACTAACATTAATTTGATGGATTAGTTGAAGAGGCATTTACTTCATTTTCCGGTGTGTTGTGAAGGTACTTATGTACAATGTTGCAACCACAAAGCAAACAGACTCGTGCATAGACAACAGTTAAAAGAACAACACACTCAGTCAGAGCAGTCATTTAGTCAAAACTTTACAAATATTTCCATGTAGCATGATGAAAATCCCCTCTTTGCCTGTAGATATGTTCTACCCAGAACTCCTCAAGTGGCAGTTTTAGCTTCATCAGGTTCACATCAGTAAAATCTGCTACATTTAGCAAATTTTGCTATCCAGTTATTAATTGATTAATCCCCCAAAAATCCCCAGATCAGTCTAGATGTTAGTCAAGCAGAAAGAACTGAGCTTTTCACATGTTGATGTTGGAAGTTTTTTTTTGTTTTTTTAACTTCAGATGCTTCCTTTGCTACAAATAATCAAACACTCACTTAAGGAATGATGTTATTGCATTTTAGGTAATAAGATGTTCATTTTCACATTTAAAAAACAAATTAAATTATTTGTTTATCTGCATGTTCTATATAATTAATATTTTATAAAAGAAGCTTCAGTGCTTAAATGAAAAATCTGCAGAATGTGGCACTTTGTGATTTGATTGATTAATTGTCTCAATAATTGATAGGACAATAATAATTAATGGCAGCTCTTCTTTATTGTCTATACATATTTTACTAAACCTGTATATAATGTTAGTGTACGTGTTAAACAGAGTGTTTCTAAATGTTCTCTGTGTGAAGAACCTCGGAGGCTTTCAGCCGCCATCAGGTTCCTTATAGCAGAAGAAGTTCTTCCTCTGGCTGCAGTCTCTGATCCCAAACAGGGAGTCGCTATTTTTCTCCAGGACGCCACACCTGCTACCTGGGCAGCCTGGCGTGTCCGGGTACTGCACCGGTTCTCCAGCAATCCAGACCCACTCATCGCCCAGGTAACGCAGACCCGTCCACACCTGCGACATGTAGCACAGAGAGCCACATGAATACAGTGGTAATATGCTAATGTGGCAAAAAAACACTCCGTTCGCACTGCAGCCTGAAGTCACCCAAGTCCAAATGTTTTGTGAAATTGTTTTTTGTTTGTTTGTTTGTTTGTTTGTTTGTTTGTTTGTTTTAGCGTGGAAGTCGTTTAAACTTCCAATGCGACTTGTATGTGATCTCCAGTGTGAACCGCTAACAACACGAAAGTGTCCCGCATGCGCAGTAGAGGGCTTATTGACGTCACACATAGGGAGAGTGCTCAGTGTTTTGCCAACCGTCATAAAAAATAAGTGGTCAATGTTTGTGGAAGTAAACATGGATGCTAATGGCGGAGGGCATCTAATAACTTTGAAGTTGTTGTCCAGTTGTTAACTTAATCCTCATTTTAGTCCCAAATGGTTGTTTTTTTCTTCCAGCTTGTGCGTATCAGGACGCTGAATGGTGACGTTTGTCGAGTATCAGTGACGTTCAGGCCGGATGAATGATTAAAAAACCCGACCTCTACTATTCAGACTGTAATTAGTTATCACTCTTTATTACTAAACCTTGTTAAATAGATGTTGGTAGCGATGCTATGTGGGATTGAAGCTGTGTAATAGTGGTGTAATAGTGTATATTAATCATATCCTTTCATTTCAGTGACCTGCGCAGTTCGGTGGACACATTGTGGCGGTGCTGCATTTAATAAAGTCTGTCATACAACGGATTAATACGCAAAAAAGACTTGCGGTGATCTGTATTTGTCAATTTAATTTCAATAAAAACTTGTTTCCTCTGTCTGTTACTATTTTATTCTTACAAACACCTATTTAAAATATTTTTAACAGGTAGGATATTCTAGTAAAAGGATTAATGCATACAGCTATAGCTTTTCATTTTAAATGGGTAGGATATTCAGATGAAGGAAGTGATCTTGTGGTTTCTTACGTATAAATTGTTCCAATGCTAAGCTAAGCATAACTCCTAAGCTTCCATTTCAATCCCGTCACTCAAATAATGTTATCCAATATATTTAACATTAACACAACCCGATATAGTTTTCTGTTTGTAAACATGACGGTAGCAGTTTTGGATGCGTATCACCGACAGATAGACTTTGCTATCTATCCGTGCTATGGTAGGAAAATCTGACGAGGTAGCAGTGATAGTCAGAACTGAGGCCCACCTCCTCAGTGGTGGCGTGTTGGGCTCTCTCTCGTGCGTAGCTGTGGTCATCGGGGGTGATCAGGGTTGCCAGGTCGTATCTGTTCCCTTCCTTCAGAGTCCTGCAGTGCTCCAACGCCTCCTCCCACGTCTTATTCTCCTTCACCAGAACCAGGTCCTCATCATAACACATGTAAGTATGTGAAATGTCACATCTTTCACTTTTCCATTTGCTTAGGTACTGATAGACACAGTGCTGGCCGTGTTTTGGTTCTGCAAACAAAGCAGCACACAGGATGACGGTTCTATTAAATCAGTTATTTAGATCAGAGAGTATCTGATGTAATCATCAGCGCTTATGGAAGGTGGCTGTGCAATGAAAGGCAAATTAATTACTTTAAAAAAAATCATAGTGTGTTTTTATGGACAATATTGTTTTAGATTCTGTCACTCAGTTGAAGAATGCTTATGATTAAAATGAAAGATTTCTACATGCGGGAAAACCAAATTGGTATTGGTTCAAATATACATAGATGTCTCTATTAGATATCTAACTAAGAGACATCTATAGATATCCATTAGCAAGTTTGATCTTAATAGTTCTTTCTCTCTTGCATAGGAATATTTTATAAAGGTTTTGTTGGCTCTAGTGGTCTTTATCTGAAAGTAGTTTGACAGGAAAGAGATGTGTCAAATGTCACCAGGCCAGGAATTGAACCTGCAACCACTGGCATGAGGACTAAGACATCAATACATGAGTTGTGCTTTGCCCCTGCAGCACCACAGCGCCCTTGCATAGGATTTTGAAGCAGAGTCTCCAGTGGTTGGGGCTTTGAACGTCCGCCTCCTTGTTCTGTTCTATAAACAGTTTTATTATTAAGTGTGTTTTGAATTATTGCTCTGTTGGAACATCCAATTATTTAACTGTCTCATGTTTGATCTGACTCAACAGGTCAGGAGTTCTGCAGTAACACTGACCTCTGCAGGAGGCACTGCAGTGTTACATCTACAATAACTTTTTAGGAAGCTAGTCATATCAAGTACATTTAACTTTCCGCTGTGGATTAAAGTTTTTTTTATTGAATTGTGTTGAATTGAATAACACAAGAAAAAGATCTGCAAAAGCAAAAAAAAAAAAAAAAAACTGATGATAAAACCTAGTTGCTCTGCTTACCATTAAGTTCCCACTTGAAGAAGGTTGCAATCTCATCTCCACTGGACCATTTCCACGGACCGTCATCACTCTCACGGTACAATCCGATCCAGCCTTGGCCGCTGGAATAAGCTTTCATTTCACTTTCATTTCTGATGGTGGTCAGGTCGCTGTGTTGCTCTCGACAGGCAGACTGAGCCTGTGGCCACGTAGCCCAAACATAATAATATTTAAACGTCAGAGTGTTGAGTCTGGTCTGTTGGCCCCTGACAGGATGAACGGTCAGCACCAAGGGGACAAAGATGAAGACGAACCGAATCATGTTTCCACTGAAGGCCATCAAAACACCTGGGATCAGATATGCATGTTATTAACCTGTCATTCACAGGTTGTCATTCACATACAGGGGTGTCAAACTCCAGTCCTCAAGGGCCGCTGTCCTGCAGTGTTTAGATGTGCCACAGGTAAAAGAAACAGTGGAATGAAATGGCTTAATTACCTCCTCCCTGTGTAGATCGGTTCTCCTGAGCCTTGCTAATGACCTAATTATTCTTTTCAGGTGTGGTGCAGCAGAGGCACATCTAAAAGCTGCAGGACAGCGGCCCTTGAGGACTGGAGTTTGACACCTCTGTCACGAGAGGACCCAAATTTAGGTCCTCTCGTGAATGACAGGTTAAAGCTGCAGTATGTAACTTTTGTTAAAAAAAAAAAAAAAAAAAAAAAAAAAAGTTTTTTTTTACATTTTTTTTAAAACTGTCACCATATTGACAGTTTATTTTGAGACAGATAATCTGAGAAAAGGTCGGCCTCCTCCACCTCCTCCTTGAACTATTGATGTCTGAAGAAACAATCAGAGCCAGGAGGAGGGGCTTAGCGCTGTCAATTACCGTGTGTACTCGCTGCTAAATTTGCTAAATAACAACTTACTGTTACAGGAAAACCGTTCATTCATCCGTCATTGGTGGCTATGCTAACTATACTTAGGGACATTTATGCTTTGATGTCGTGCATGTGTGTGAACGGGTTCTTGCTGCCATCTGATGGAATTTTCGTGCAGTGTTTCGTTGCACCTTTAGAAACAAATTCAGTTAGAGAAATGGTGATGTGTAGACATATAAGTGTAGATATAAACATGAAATGTGTTTGCTCCCCCCACAATTTTCACATTTTACAAAAAAAAAAAAAATCAATGGAACAACAATCAGCAATGCACACAAATGTGTTTAATCTTCATTAAAACTCATATTATACTAAACCCCATCTCAGTACGACAGTTGATTCCACCGCATGACACGGGGCGGAGAGAGGAAATTAACATAATATCACAAAACATTTATCTTCCTTTTGGTTCTTATTTTGTTTTCTTTTGTTTCCACCCAAAACATCTCTGTGATTCCAGATTAACTCACACAAGAAAAATATAATAATAATAATTATAATAATCTGGAAATAATTTCCAAAAATGACCATTCATACCATTTGTCCTCCTTTTTGTGCCACTGTATTTTGTTGTTTCTGCAGAATTGTAATTGCTTATTCTGTGACTCTTCCTTTTGGTTCTTAAGGAACCAAAAGGTTAAGTGTGTTCTGTGTTTGTTTGTTCGTACTATTTGATTTAAAACCTTCATGAAGTTTGACTTTCATTTGTAAAAGAAAAATTTAACTCTGGTTTTTCCTGTGTGCTAAAGCTATCCTAAAACCTCTATGCACACACAGGATCAGAACCAATCTGAAACCAATATGGATTATATCCACTAATAAATGTCAAAAAAATATTTCACTGGTGGTCATATATTTAAGAAAGTTTTAAAGCGTTCTGTCGTTCTGCCTGCTCCAGTGACACTTTATCCATTATCCTAAATATCACCTCTGTACTCACCTCAGGCTGTAGAGGTTTTTTGTAGCTCTGCTTCTGGTAATGATGATTCTCTGTGTTTATACCCAGTATAAAGTCTCCACCGACCAATCACAGAGCTACACAAAAAAATGAATATGCAGATTACCGCGGTTACCACAGCACTCACTAAGCTGCCTCTCTGGCCTCCAACTTCTGCTTCACACCTTTAAACCAAACGTCTCAAACTGTTCACATACCGTGGTGATTGTAGCAAGATCCCTGACAGATTTATTTTAATTGAACTTTATTTTAATGTCCAGAATAAATACAAAATGAAGTGACCTGCAGCATTTGGAGAAGCTGGTGGCCTGCACCAGCTTCCAAAGATTGTGAAGACAATTTTGTCTTTACAATCTTGATGAAGACAAGATTGTGTCTTCATCAACCCGGAAAATATAGTTTTCAGGGTTCAATTCTTGGTATTTTCTGATTCTTTCTATATATCAAGCAACATTTGTTTTCCTTTTTTTTCTTCTTCTTTTGTAAATCAACATTGTATGTCTCTAAGATAAAATTCTCTTTGTCAGTTTTGAATGTTGTGTTCAAAATGCAAAGAAAATTCAAATTTTTTATTCCTTTGACCTGTACAAGACACAACATTTGTTAAGCAGATAAGTTCTCATCTCATTATCTTACTCACATGTGAGTTTCGCTCTGTGGCCAAATGCCACAAGTTTGCTTTAGGCACTGTTTCTTCCTTTTGCATCTTTGAGTTTAACTTTCAGTAAAACTTAAATCTTGTAAGATTGCAGCTGTTCAACAGTGTCAGGTGCACATAAAAAACACAAAGTTTCTTTGTGTGTCAAGTTGTAAGTTACAGTGGAGCATATTATCTGTTTTATCAGTGGAGTTGATTCAATGGGACAGAAGCTAAGAGTTCTGAAAAAACACACTCTGTGACCTATTAATCTTTTTCTAGTTTTCTTTAGTACAAGTTCGTCATTCAATATATCATGGCACTATATTATACAAAGTTCCACATCATTATACATATAAGTTGGACTTTCTTCCCCATTGGATGCCGATGTCAGTATTTGGCCGTACGTACACTTTTGTTTTGGTTGGGTCCAGTGTTTCATAAAAGCAGCCACAGGTCAATTTGTCCTTTCTCCTTTGTGACAGTATGTTTTCAAGTACAAATTAATATCTTGAGCCAAACAACTTTTCACACCCCAAAAAGTCAAAAACGACTGACCAAAACTGTAAAAGTAGAAAATGGCGAGGGATTGGCACAACCAGCAACTGTCTAGAACAGACGACATGCCTCTATAGCAAACTGTTTCTTTTTGAACAGCCGCTATGGTTCTTTTGATGTTTTCATCTCACCGAATCTGAAAATGGTAAACCTTCAGTCTTCCACCCTGAAGAATGTTGTTATTAGAACAACCTGATGGGTGTAAAGTACGGGGCATTCAGAGACATTTTTAAGTTTCCAACCACAACTTATTTATTGTTTACAAATAATTCAGAGGATTCTACTAACAACATAACACTTAACACAATTTTATATATTAAAACATGTGATCCACTTAAATATGTAGGTAGCCACATATGACAGAACCAGTGGGGGGAAGTCTGCTCTCATCCAAGCTTAAAATTTTTTACATAAAACTGCCCCTTTAAGTATAGCAAAAAATCATCATAATTAACATAAATAACAGCTTTCAGATATCCATTGGTGTAGTTAATCTATATAATGTGTTTCACTTCATGACATTCTGTAGTTGTTGAAAAAAAAAAAAAGACTTTCCAATAATGTTCTAATTCATTGAATGTGTTTGGAGCTGTAAACATGGCAACTGAAGTCAATAGTCATGATTCAATGAAACCCTCAACTTCATATCCAGAATTCATAATATATGATAACTTACATTCATACAGCAACTAGTTCTTTGAATAGAAAGCTTCTAACATGGCTTATTCTTGCCATCCATCCATTCAGTTAGTTTAAGCTATAACCTTAAGAGAAGAGCCTCTTTTCATCAAATAGTTTTTCTACAGGATTCTAGATTTTAAGTAACAGAAGAAGTTCCTTCTCTCATTGCAGTCTCTGATACTAAAGGATGACTTGCTGTTCTTCTCCAGGACTCCACATCTCACAGCCGGGCAGCTTGGAATGTTCTGGTACTGCACCGGTTCTCCGCCCACCCAGAACCACTCATCACCAAGGTAACGCAGGCCGGTCCACACCTACCGACATGTAGCAGAGAGATCAACATAACAACAGGGTGAGTTGGTTAACAAAAGCAACACAGAGTAAACAGAAGCCCACCTCCTCAGTGGTTGCCAGTTGGATTGTCTGTCGTGCAAAATTGTGGTCGTCGTCTGTGGTGAGGGTTGCCAGGTCGTAGCTATTGACTTTGTTCAGAGTCCTGCAGTGCTCCAACGCCTCGTCCCACGTCTTATTCTCCTTCACCAGAACCAGCCCGTCATCGTGGCAAATGAAGACACGTGTTGCGCTACAAGGAACACTTGACCACTTCTTAGTGAGCGGCCGCTGGAAGACACAGTGCTCATTTTGTGACGGTTCTGTGACAAACAGAAAACAGACGTAAGTTTTTATTATACCTCTACTTTGAAGAATAAATCATCCTGCACTCTCGAACAAGATTCTGACAGAGAGTAGAATTTCAAAACGGTAGACAAAAAAAACCCCATTCTTATCTTATTAAGACTAATAAGCCACTACCTATTAAACCTACAGTATATTCACACATATTTTGTATGTAAACCTTCTAAAATGTCTACCTGGAAATACATTTCTTAGTTTATTACAATAGAAGTTAAGTTAGACACTTTTAACGATAAAAAATAAATTCCTGTGGACATAAACAGATATATTTACTATGTAGGTAAACAAACCTTGACATATAATTTGATTTCAACTCCCTTGTCTCACTGAGTATATGGACAAAGAAAATAAGGATTTGGAAAATTATATATATTTTCTTCTCCATCATTTTTGTCCCTCCTTCGTCTTTTCCTTCCTTCCTTGTGTTGTTCCCTTTTCCTTGCCTCCATACTTACTTATTCCCAGTTTCTGAAACTCAACAAATACGAGCCACTCTGTATGTTTTTCTGAAGCGAACCTGGGAAAAAAAGCTCCACCCCAACATGAAAAAGGTTTAGCTAATTGCAGACGTCACTGCAACATTTACTGCACAGAATTCATCTCGCTCACCGTTTTCATCCCAGTTGAGGAAGGTTGCTGTCTCGTTTCTTCTGGACCATTTCCAGTCGCTCGTGTTGTTGTCTCGGTGCAGTCCAATCCAGCCCCTGGTACCGTTCAGCACCTGAATGTCTGTTTCTGTCCTGATAGTGATCAGGTCAGTGTGATGCTCCCTGCAGGAGGCCTGGGCTTCGCTCCAGGGTTTCTGTATTTCATAAAATGTAAACTTCCCTTCTCTGAGGCCCAAATGCTGCCCACAGGCAAAGTGCAGGACAGACATCAATGATACAACGACCAAGATGGTCCTCATAATGTCTCCGCTGGAATCAGATTAGAATTTTGATTATCAATCAAGCTTATTTGTATAACACATTTCAGCAACAGTAAAATACAGAGTCATAGAACACAGTCAGCTGTTGAAACATTGCATTTTGTCAAATACCATCGTACTTGACAAAATGTACGATGACTACAAATGAAACACTGAAATGAAACCTTTCAGTGTTTCATTTCGAATGGTTCAAAAGCAACTCTAAACAGCTGAGTTTTTAGTCTAGCGTGAAAGGAACTCAGTGTTTTGGCTGTTTTGCAGTTTTCTGGAAGTTTGTTCCAGATTTGAGGTGCATAGAAGCTGAATGCTGCTTCTCCTCGTTTGGTTCTGGGGATGCAGAGCAGAAGCAGAACCAGAACCAGACCTCGGTGGTCTTCTGGTACTAACAGAAGACTTTGTTGGTAACAATTGGGTATCTACAGAATGCTTACATGGAATTTCACACAGGATTACATATGGGACCTTTGGAGTACCTCTTGGCTACCGACTTGGACTTGATCACATCTTTGCTCCACCTGCACCTGTTTTTGCGATCCTTTAAAAAAAATATATGTTTCTAGCTAAGCTAATCATACAATAACCAAGCAATAACTAAACAATTTATCCCATACACTGCAAGTAATCCATAGATGGTACAGACATCAGTAAAAGTTCAAATTGCACAGCAGTAATCTGTCAGAAAAGTCAGTCTTTGTCTTCACCTTCTAGCTTTTTCTCGACAAACATGCCTGACTTTTTAAGACTACATTTATGTAAAAGCTTCACTGGATGATATCTGAACTCACCTCAGGCTGCAGCAGCAGTTGTAGAGCTTTGAATCATTGAGGTGATGTTCGTTTTCTGTGAGTATACCGACCAATCACAGCACTGCTCTAACTCTTACTTAAAATGCAGATTAACCTGGCCATCAAATCCTCTGCTTTGCCTGCAGCAGAGCAAATGCCGTGAGTGGCTTTAGGAAGCCCTGCTAACAGAGCCTAGAAAAAAATATTCACACCCACTAAACCTTTTCACGTGTCACATGCTCAAGACACGAGCAAACTAGGGCCACTGAACCATCAGGGGCCTCCCATAAATTACATTTTACACAGACCGTAGATCTAATGTTTAATATATTTAAATTATGTATACACACTTTCTCTGAGTTCACATAAACTTGTCTTGTACCTGTTACAACTTGTTCCAATGCAAACATCACTAAGATTTGTTTCTCATGACTCATTTCCTTCGGTGATGGTTCCCTGGACTCTGGTTTATTTGTTTACTGGGATCTGAGGCACGACTTACTGGAGTGATGGATGGCTTTATATGCGACTGCTCCAGATTGCTTGTTTTGTTTGAACCTTTTCAAGATTTCTTGTTGAAGTACTTCTAAGAAAACATTTTCCTTTACTGCACATATTTCGTTTTGTTTGTTGAAGCGGCCCTCTCTTTGTTTTCCGGGGTTCTGTTTGTGGTAGAATTTTCTGAATATCAATGCTATACTTGTGGTTATTCACTAAATATCTGAAGACACCTTTCAGTGTGTGTGTGTGTGTGTGTGTATATATATATATATATATATATATATATATATATACCTTCAAATTACCTTCACAGATTTTACAACTGTTATGACTTTATTTTATTATAACATTCTTATTTGTCAGAATGTCCACATGTATCACTTGTGTTAACAGTTTGTGGAATAAAATGCGTAAAACGAGAAATGGATGTGTGATGGGTCCGCATGTTTGCCCAGCTGAGCTCCTGATCAGGAGTTGGCCCCAGTCCGCGGGCCCCTGATGATGTGGATCCTGGCCTCTTCATCCAGCTCCTCCACGATCCTCTCCTGTTTGACCGACAGGATGGTGTAGCTGACTGATGGACGGCTGGTTAAAGCAAATCACATCAGTCTGAAGTCATCAGCAGTGATCATCTCTGCTATAACAGCCTGTCTGAACGTTGAAGCCTTCTGTCAAAGCAAACAGGGCTGAATACAAACACAGGCCACATTTCAGAATTTTACTAAAATGTCATGCGATTGTTCAACACTGTTTTGCACATAAAAATGAAATCCATTAAGGTTTATGGCAGATGTGTTAAACTGAAGACTCGAGGGCCATGTACAGCACGCCGCAGCTTCTACTTTGGCCCGTGTAAAACCAGAGGGGCACCTAAAGAGAACCTTAAAGTGTGATTAAATATTATTTTATCAATCAAATCAAAGCAGTTTCTATCTGCTTTCTGCCAAATTGCATCAATCAGTTCCTCCACAATTTAGCGATTCCACAATTGTGGAAATTCATGCAAAATTCAACAGGCCACTGCACCGTTTCCACACTGCTGTGTAATTGTGAGTTTATTGCAAAATTTCTGCAAAAAAAAAAAAAAAAAATTATCCAGGATTTTTTAATACAGAAAAAACAAAACAAAAACTGAAACAAAACCAGGCAGAACATTCAGTCTGTTCATTGTCCAGATGTGAGCAGGGCAGGAGTACAAAATGTAACTGATAATAGTGATTAAGGATATCGATTAATGAGTTAATTTGAAGTTGATTGATTGATTAACAATTAATTGATAAGGGGAAATTATTAGACATAACGTGAAGGACGGAATTTGCTGCATTTTCTACATCCTTTTTTTATATTTTAGTGAACTTGGTCAAATCGCGTAAAATTGATGTTTTAAAAGAGTAAATAATAACTTGAAAATAGATGATGTAAATAGATGATGTTTAGTTGTACCTCTGATCAACAAGTTAGGATTCAAGTCTTCATTTCTGGGCCCATTACAAGAGCCTGTTTGACAAAGACTTTATGTTGCAGTGCAGGAAGTTCCCTGTCAACGTTTTCAACATAAAGTACAGCGCAACTTTTCACGACTATATCAAAAATAAAATAAATATTTTAGGTTACAACTATTCACAATGTTCGAAGTAAATTGAGGAATATTCCTGAACTTCCTGCTTTTCAACCTCAGCTGTCTGATTTTTTTAACCTACATACATGACCTTGGTATAATTTTAAAGTTTTTATTTCTTTATGTCAACTCTTTCACTGACAAATGTAAGTTTTGACTTCCAGCTCTTCTAGACATCTTGCTCCTTCAGTCAACCTCTTGTTGTGTAAGTGAACTGTGAAGGATACAGATGCCGACCACGAACGCTCCGATGCCCAGGCCGGTCAGCAGGTTCCTGCTCCGGATCCGCGCTGCGTTCTTCTGGAAGTAGTCCAGCTCCTGTCTGCGGCGGAGAAGCTGCATCTCTGCGGCTGTTCGGGTCGCTTTGGCTTCTCTACCCGGTCCTTCCTCCGCCATTGCTTGTTATTGCACTGACAGGAAGTTCACGTCTTCTTCCTGTACGTTAGAGTTCACTGGCATGGTTTGGGTTGCATTACCGCCATCTTCTGGCTCCAACCGTCTAGGACAGCTTTGTTGTTTTTCCTCTCGGGAATGGCTCGAGCATGCTTTGTCTCCATGAGATACCGTCAATTTTTTTCGAAAAATTATTACAAATGATTTTATTTTCAGAAAGTGGAAAATGCAATCATGTCACGTGTCACTGTTTAAAAGCCGCCATTGGCTTTATTTAAAATAACTTTTAAACTTTTGTGAACACCTCCTTTATTGATTATCTTAACGAATAATTACCATATACTGAAATAGTGTACTTCTATCCTAATAATGTGTATTTTATGTTTAATTCGCCTCGGAAGTCAGTGTTTCACAGACGGGTGTTACAGACACGACAGCCAAGTTGGATTTTGGATTTGGAGTGAAAGCAAATCCAAAATATTTTTTTTCTCCTAATACTTCAGAGATTCTGTCTGAATTTGAATTAAGCCAAATAAAACATTTTATTTATACACTTATTTTAGAACTCATATATTCAGAATTCTGAGTACAAAAAGATTGTGCCACATCTTTAACTAAACATACTGCTGCGTAAGTTAGTAGTTATGTGGCAAATTCCAGCTGTATGCTTTTTGTATTTTTTCTTTCAGTTACAAACATCAAATCTAAACTGTGGAAATTGTTGCTGTCTAGAAGGGACCACAGACAGATGAACAGACGAACTCCTTGCAAGAAATAATTAGACATTTCCATGTGCAAAAAACCCACTTTAATGACACCCAAGTGCTTTAAGATGAGATGTTTTTTTGTTTTCAGTTCTGGAGACTGCATTGCAAAGTAGCTGGGTGATATTTTTCTTTTAGTAATCAAAACCTTTGGAGCTTTCATGTAAATCCATATTTTAAATCTGTTCCCAGTTTTACTTTAGGATAAGTTGTACAAAAATAAAGTTGAAATAATATGAGAATAAATTTATAATATTACCACATTATTTTCAATATATTGTGACTTTGATATTATATTATCACAACTTCATTTTCCTATTATATCAACTTTATTCCCGTAATATTATGACTTTCTTTTCCTAATACTATGACTTTATTCTCAGATTATTTTGACTTTATTTTTGTAATTTTATCACTATTTTTTTTCTTTTTATGAGCCAAATATTTTGTAAGTCCAAAATGCTAAAGAATTTTGCAGCAAGTGTTTTTTTTTTTTTTTTTTTTTTGGAAAAAGCACAGGAAAGAAGAAAACTTCCAAAATCAGAATCTAGTCATTGATTATGTAATTGGTCTCCAAAGCTGAACTGCCACAAAAACCATCGACTGAGAAGCAGGAGTTCAGGAAGCAGCAGCTGGAGGAGCAGGAGGCAGCTGGCTGGAGGTGAGGCGGCAGCTTTGGAATGAGTCGGGGAGGCTCTTGGCGTGCTCCACCAGCGCGTACGAGTCTCTGATGTCCGTCAGGCCAAACCAGAAGACGGTCCACACTCCGTTTACAAAGCTGCCGTCACAGTGCTTAAAGTACCTGGACAGAGGAGGAGAAATGAAGTGGAGGCTGTGATCCGGTGCTTCCTGCTGAGCCCAGCTGATTGTTTTCAGGTTAGAGCCCAACAACGTAATAGAACTGAACAGAACATCCAACGACTAAACAGCTTGTAGAACCGCAGCTGTTGGCTTCTGTTAGACTTTATCATCTTTTCACAACATAACAGAGACTTTGGAGCTCTTAGTTGTTTCTAACTTTACTGAAGCTTAGGACTCTTTACTGATACACTGTGCTTGGGATCATTCCTTACCATAGCAAGAGTATGTCTACTTGATACCACGTTAATATGTTTGTGTGGGACTAACCATGGGTTGATCCTGTTGGTGGCCTTTGACCTCCAGAACAGCTTGCCCAAATCCTGTCGGATGCACTCCCACAGGATGTGGCTGGTGCCCTGCCCCTGCTTACTGCTGCTCACCACAAACTTGTCCAGGTAGGGGGTCCCACCGTTGACGGGCTCCATGGTGATGATGGCCGCTGCACTGTAGCTGGGGGAGGACATTAATGCAAAAATATGTGGTACTTTCTCACACACAAGCAGTGTTGTGAGATGGAAGCAAAAAGGCATGTTTTCCTATTTGAAAAGTGCGGTGTGCATTTTATTTACTTCGCTGTGTTTCCATCAAAGATTTTTTTATGTGTATTTTTAAGTATCACATTAGAAAAGTTTGACAGAAACTGTAACATTCGGAATAATTTTCTCAATCTCATATGAAAAGATTTTACACTCGCTTCAGCTGGTTTTTGGTTTCTTTGTTAAAGAGTTAATGAGTAAAAGGGGAGAAGGAAACACATTTGCTGAATAAGTGCTGACGCAGTGAATGCTTCCATCTGATGGTGGGTCTGTGCCTTTGCAGAGGCACGTAAGTTGGAAAAGTTCAAACTTGGATGGGCGGACACTCTCGGCATCTCCAGAAATGTCCGGTTGATGCTAGTTAGCAACCTCTACTTCCTGTTTATGACAGCCACGCAAAACGTCAATATTGAGGGGGGTGTCAACTTCACTCATGCTCTATAAAGTGTTGGCTGAAGGGACCTCAAAACAAATCCATGCAACACTTTTTGGATTTTAATTGGTGAATGGTTGAAAACCACGAGTCATTTCCAGACTATGTCACATTAAATCCCACATTAGGGTTTATAGTTGTAGCCCAGCAAAATATGAAAAAGTTCAAACAGTATGAATACTGGAGAAATGAAATGTACATTAAAAGCTTAAGTTTGTCATATTTTTTCCCCTGCACTACTTGAACGCACCCTTCAGAGAGGTAGACGCAGTGCAGCCGTCCCTTCAAAGACTCCACATAATCCTGCCTCAGAGTTTTATCGAACGACTTGTTGATGAGAGTCAGCAGACGCTCCACGTCGATCTCGTCCAGAGAGGTGTACCTGCACGAACAGAGCAACAGGAACGCCGGGTGTGTCTTTGTGTGTAAGTCTGAAGCAGTGTGTCAGGGGATTTCCGTGCTTTTAGAAAGTGTATCCTTGTGACAGGGGTTAATTTTGGATTATGACACACGGATCAGGTTACGTGGCTTGTGTAATATTTACTGACCTGTGTATGGGGTCGCCGTTTTTGAAAAGTGTGCCGGAACCTGACATGAAACACAAGACAGAAAATAAATTACTAAATTAATTAAGAAGATATTCTGCGGGTCAAAAACAGATGCAATCAAGCTAGCAGTAGCTCAACTCAGACTGTCCTGTGTGCTGCACACAGAGCTCTGAAATACTTCCTATAGATTATTTTGGTTTTTGCTTCTTCGTGACTCTTGCATGTTTCAGACTATCAAAAGAAATGACATCTGAGGAAAATAATCTGAGTGAATACAAAAAATATTCTTACACTGCTTTGTAAAAAATGTCAATTTACCAGCTCCTATACACCATAAGAAAGACTTTCGGTATTTAATTATGCCGCATGAACTGATCAGTGCATTACTGCGAGAAAATGCAAAGAAAAAAAAATCCTCCATGTCCACTAGGGGACTCTGTAAAATGCGACATGACCGTTCAGACTGCTGCTGCTTTGAAAACAATCGGATATGCCTCCCATTTTGATCGGATTTATTTGTTTTTGTGGTGAAAAGATGGGAATGCTGTGAAAAAGTGGGACATGGGTGGCCTTTGCCTTGTGCTCGCAGGTCTCACCCCGGTGGCTGAAGAGCTCAGTCAGCAGAGTGTCTGCAGAGGTGATCACAGCTGAGGACTCTGTTGGTAGCTGATTTAGCAGTCTGGCGATGGTGGTCAGCCTGCGGCGCTCCACTTGGCTCAGCCACTCTGCTGCAGACAGACCAGGCAGGTCAGTGGGCAGTGACACCGTGTCCAGTACCTGTCACTCAAACGGAGAGCGGCATACGTGAGTAAGCAGTGCGTATTCATATTCGACGTGCGTGCATGAGGGCTGGTTCTGTGCCTTGTGCTTTTCGCCCCGCAGGCCTCCCGAATTGTTCAGAAACATGACTTTGAGGGGCTGCAGGGCTCGGGAAATGGCTGCCGTGACCTCCGTTGGGTCCAGCACCAACGAGCATCCATGTCCGTCCCTCCCAACTGGACAAACCAGTGGGATGGTCCCACAGTCCAGACTCCACTGGAGGAGGCTGATGTCCACAGAAATGGAGTGTGGAGCACTGCAAAGAAAAGGATAGAACTCTGCTAACATAACAGAAGGAGAATTAAAGCATCGACGCCAGGAAACCTGGACATTTGTCATGACATTTTGGAATCACAGTAAAAGTATTTCACACCCCTTGAATGTCGTTACATTTTCTTCCCTTCTACTTATTAGCTTTGATGTGTTTTACTGGGATTTTATGTGATGGACAAGAAGTGAAAAAGAAGTACTAATAAAAATCTGAGCGTAGCACAGACTAATATTCAGGCACATTACATTCTGACACCCCTAAATATAAAACTAAACAGTTTGTGTGGGGTCTACGGCGATGCTAAGCTTCCTCTTTCCTGACCCTTGACCTGTACAAGATCAAGGGACGGTAAGCCCTGGCGGTCCGCTCTGCAGACCAGGTACAGAAATATTTGCTGTCTTTCTTTAACTCTTCATCTTAACCAGAAACAGAACAGTTTGATTCAGGCCTGGTCCACATGTAGTCGGGATATCTGGGAAAACTAGTACATTTTTATGAACTTTGGCCTTTCATCCACACAACATCACTAAAAACAATTACTTAAACTCAGATTTGAGAAAACTCTGTCTGTGTGTGCATGTGCAGATGGGAAAACAGAGATATAGAATTCCACGGATTACTGTCTGTCACAAATAATCCACCATTACATCCATGTGATTCCCAGTCAACACCATCTTGTGTTTTAATAACTTTATATTCTAATACACTATTTAAAAGTAGCTCAACTTATGTCTGTCCACACAAATGAACCTCTTGCAGCCATGTTTAAATCCTAACAGGAAGTTGTGGATGTTTTGAAGCAATCTGATTGGTCGACAAAGTTTTAGCTTTAGGCTACACTGCCCTCTATATGGGTTGGGCATGTTTAAAGCAACGCTGAGGCGTGTGTTTGTGTTCATGTGAATGGAAACTTTTCTGCAGCCGATCCCATGTGAACAATATATTTTTCTTAAGCAACAGAGCAATAGTTACTTTTTTTAATAAGATAGAGTGGAACATCTTAAAGAGAAAATGATTGCATTATCATTGTTGCATCATGCATAATCATCCGTGTTGTCTATTGTTGAAGTCACAGGTCCTATAACCTTCAGAGACTCCTCTTTAGTGGCTATAAAATAAGTTTTGTCCTAACCTGCTGCTTTGTGGTGCCTCATGCAGCTGCAGGAAGGACTCTGCTGAGAAGAATGGTAGAACAGTTGCTGAGTGTAGCTGTAGAGCTTCAGTGAGCTGCTGGCACCGCTCCACCAGCCCTCTGGTGCTCCAAGACCCAGCGGCTGCTTCTACAGACCCTGATTCCTGGTTATAGGAGCAGCCCATCACCACCACGGACTTCATGTCCATCCGCTGCAGGAACGACAGGCCAAAGGCCAGACTCTGTACCGTCTCCCTGCTTTGGAATACCGAGTCGTCCACCTCGAAGAGACACAAAAATATTTAGAGTTTAAAAGTAGGAAGCACTCTGTACTTTGGTCACTGCAAAAGGAATAAAATCAGTCAAATCATTTTTTTGTGTGTAGATAAGCGATTTCAAAACAGTCAACTTTAAGCTGCGTGTTTCAGGAAATGTGTTATGTTGCCACACACAGTCCTGACATTTTGGGTTATTTTTTCTACATATGAAGGCATGTCTAGAAATAATATCATAGACATTTTTTTAAAGTAGTAAAAAAATTAAATTTTACTTTGGAATTGTATTTCATTTTTTTGTGGAACTTAATTTGTTTCCAACTATCAGCAGGAACATTTCCTGCTGGACCGGTCTGACGTTGGGTCAGAAGGGACAGTTCACTCCCTTTTGTTGGTCCAGGGTGCAGTTATGGTACTGACAGCTTGATCACATAAGCTGGTACTGCTGCATGGCAGGCCATTTTGACATAAAACTGGTTTCCTCTGACTATCTGTAATTGACATCTGTAATTACAATGAAAGCGTGGTGAAGCTGATTTTACATTAAATAGCTGTGGAAGTGAACACAGCTAAATGCGAAAAACCTTTTAGAATTAATAGAAAGAGTATGGTGTAAAACTACATTTTATTAAAAGTGGTCTCAGATACTACATAAACCAGCTCACTGCACTGACCTGAATTGATCAGATGACTTTGTAAAAATGGAGGATTTGTTATGAGATTGTGATGTTTTTAAAATGTGCCAGAAACTGGCCATAAGCTGAGAAAGAAATTCTTATTTCTCTGTTGCTATGAGAAACATCTATAAAACTACTCTTGTGTAGAGGAAAAATATGATATCAATCAATCAAATTTTATTTGTATAGCACATTTCAGCAGCAAGGCATTTCAAAGTGCTTTACATAATTAAAATAAAAACAGCATGTGACATTGAATAAACAGTGAGAAGGAGGAAGAGATTTTGAAAAGGAAAAAAAAAGATTAAAAAAAATAAAAACATTAAAACCCGCGCCCCTTTTAGGACTTCAGTTAAACGTCGTTTGATCTTTAGAAAGCTCTTCAAATAACAAATTTTAAATAAATAGTGCAATATTTAAAAAAATATATATAGGGAAGAGATATGTATGAAAACTAATTTGCTTATTTTGATATGGTCCAAAATAAAAATAAATTTGACAGCTCTGAGGCCCGGGCATTTCACCCTGACCCTCGTGCCATAAACTGCCTGAAATGACGTTCAGTTTTGAAGACTATGAATTCATTTAAAAAAACTCGAAAACATAAAAGTCTCGGTTACTTCCTTGTTAACAAATAAAAAATGAAAAGTTTACCTCCAGCACAGCAAAAGCAGGCGACTGAGATAAGTTCGCTCTCTGGAACTGGGTCAGCCAGTACCGAGCCTCGCGAGGATCCCCACCGACCTCGCTGAGGAAAGCCTTCACGTCCCGGTAAATTAAGTTCCGGTTTGCCAGCGCGTGTCGGTCAGCGGCGGAGTAATACCCGGGACTTTCCTGCTGACCCGCGGCCGCGGTTCGCCCTCCCATGCGGGCTGCAGTGGAGCTCTCTGTACGGCACTGAGTGGCACGCATCTGCCCCCGCTGCCGGCCAGAGGTCCCGGCGAGCACCGCAGAGCATCGGCCGGGACCAGACAGGTACTTCCCAGCCATCACCACGGCCCGACAGCCGGTGGAACCGCTGTTGACTTTGGACATGTGGAGAGCTGGGACCGACCCGGAGGCCTTTGCTGTGCAGCAGGGTGTGCTGTCTGTGTGGACACTGACAGCTGGACCATTCAGCACGCAGCCTGCTGCTGTGTCGGCATTTCTCATATTTCAACTGACCAGCACATGAGTCGTGGGTTGAGGGGGCCATTACAAGGAGGTCTGAATACCAAATGTTGGAAAGAAAAAGAAAATTACCAGATTTGTTACTATGATACAACTTTATTCAAAGGCATACATATCAGTTCCTTTTTGAAACAAAATACAATGCTTTGGAAAAGCACATTAATTAACATTAAACAAGACTTTTAATGGCTTTTCCTCTGGCCAGTCTTCCATACAGACCAGGTTTGTGGCCTGTATGGAACAGATCCTTCTGTCTGAGCTCTGGATCTCCACAACTCCTGAACAGATTAAGTCACTGACCCATTTAGCTACTTCTGTCATTAATACTTTCCTTTGCAGTTTTGCTTCTCTTCTCCATTTTCAGACAATGGGTTGAGATATTCAGATGTTGGGGATATTGTGTTTAAACTGAATCCTGCTTTAAATTTCTACAGAACTTTCTCCCTGACCTGTCTGCTGTCTGTGTCCTCTGTTTGTTCTCTAATGTTCGCTAACAAACCTCTGACCCCTTCAGGGGACAGCTTGGTTTATACAGAGATTACATGTTGGATACTTATTATGAATATGGTGACTTTTGGATCTTATTTAATCTGACATCAGCCGTAACTGCATGGTTCAGTTTAGATTTTTTTGCAAATAAATTTAAGAACTAACATATCATTTTCTTTCCGCTTTGTAAGTATGCACTACCTTGTATACACTGAAGACTGTAATGGAATCTAGTTGGAGAGAATGTAGAAAGAATAGAGTGAAGGATTTTCTGGCTACTCTTTAACACTATGCATAAAGAATAGAATTTTGTATTTTTACACTTATTAAGAATGAAACTGTAGAAGTAATTTTAAACCCTGCAATGGACTTCTTGCCCTCCAGTCCATGATGTACCATGTCTCCATCCCAACAATGACTGCCACATACCTAGATGGATGGATGGATGGATGGATGGATGGATGGATGGATGGATGGATGGATGGATGGATGGATGGATCGTTCTCTGGCTGCAATGATACTTTAGAATGAAGCAAGGTTAGGGCCAATGAAGATCTCATTTGACATACAGGCAGGGTTTGACGAGATATTAGAACAAGGAAAGCCTCTGTTCTGTCCAGATGACCAGTCTAGCAGTGGTCAATAATCTCATTTTTATTTTGATGTTTGGTATTTCAACCTAAATCCTTTTCTCAGGAATGTTTCCATTGTAATGACATACAATGCATTTAAACTCAAAATCAGTACTAAGTGAAGAGTCTGATGATGACAATCACGGCTTTAGTGATTTTGTCATTGAACCTGGTAATGAACCACATTATGAACAATCTGTGGAGAGAAATGGTCAGCAGACTTTGACAGAGCCACACGGCTCCCTTCCAGAAGTGTTCATTGTTCATGACGAAGGTCTCAGAGATTCTTCAGTAACCAGAGGAAACCCTTCAAGCTCAAGTCATTAGTGACCCCCTGGCTTCCTTTTTGGAAGACATCTGACCCTGAGATCATCTTGGCTGCACAGGACATACCGAATGATGACTCCCTCAGCGACACGCTGATCTATCAGCCTGATCTGGTACCTCTAAGTCCTCTTCACTTTGTGCCTGAAACATAGAGCTTCAGTGAAATGATAGCAGTTTCTTCTAACCCTGAGTCAGATTCCGACTTCCTGACAACACAGTAGAGAAGGGTACTGGTTGTGGTGTAATCAGAGACGTCTACAGCAGCTTCATTTCACTTTGTGCAGTTTTATGGATAATAGAGACAGAGCTGGTGGTGTTGGGTCTCAGATCGGTGTTACATCTGCAGTCTTATATAAGTGGCAGCAGCGGGCGTGGTCTCTGTAGACCCAGACAGCGTTTCTATTCAGCACGCTACTGCTGTGTTGGCGTTTGTCACATTTTGACAAACTGAGGTGGATGGGGCGGGGGGGAGTTGAGGTTCACTGCAACCACTGATGGGAAAAAAAAGAAGTCTGAATGGAAAATGTGGAAGAAAAATAAATGTTCAACTTTAATAGGAAAACAAAATGTTACAGGAAGAACAGAAGTCTGCATTTCCTAATGAATCTTAAAGTCTAAAGCTTTAAAACTCTTAATGAATAGAATAATAATTCCACACACTGAAAAAAGAAAATAGTTGAACCAACTTAATTGAATTGCTTCAAGTGGTAAGTTGGTTTAAGTTGACAAATTTAAGTCAGTCTTACTCAAATCATTTAGTTTACTTCAAATAAAGAAGTAAACTAATAAAGGACCCTTTTTTATCCCAGGTGGTCTTTGTTTGAGAGTAATTAGACAGGAAAGACATGCAGCAAAGGTAATCAGGCTGAGAATGGACTCTGTGACGGTAGTGTGGAGGACTAAGGTCTCCTTATGTGGGTTGTGCTGAACCCCTGCGCCACCACAGCAGCTGGTTGGTTCAGGGTCTGTCCCTGGGGAAGCTTCGTCATGACGTCAGACTTAGGACACAAACATGGCTTTGAACTTAATTGTTTCAAGAAAAACCAAAGTAAAAAGTTCCTCTACCTTAGAAATGTGAAACTTTTAAGTTACTTCAGCACGAAAAAGTAAGTCGTCATCACTAAGCCAAAAGAATAAGTGAGATTAATGTAAATAAGTGTATAAAATGAACCACATCCAAATACACTTCTTAGAGTGCCCATAGAGTGTCTTCTTAAGGAGTTGACTTCCAGGGTCCTGGCTTTGGTTGGAGGTGAGACCTGCTACGTCTAACTGGTCTTATGTTACCTCACCAGCTCCATCTCCTTTCCCTCCAGTGCATCTGCGTCTTTTAAGAGCTGACCTGGTGCTGGTAGAGGTCACGTCCTGCCTCCTGAAACACCCAGACTCCACATGGGCCCACGTGGAGGCTTCTTTGTGTTCACGGTGCCATTTGGTTTTAACTCACGGTGTCATACGACCCGGTGCATGCTCTCTTAAAGGACAGAGTTGTGTGTAGGTGGCTGTGGTCCTGCCAGGGTCCTGGATGATGATTGGGTTTGAAGAAGCAGAGGGTGTGGTGACCGCTCCAGTGGCGCCTGTGTGTATGCGTGTGTGTGTGTGT